AGAACAATAACAAGTTGTCAAAACCAAGTTTCATAACACTCTGGAAATTAATGAAAAACTTACAGCAATCCAGGGAGAATTCCAGAAAACTGGCTGAAACTTACTAAGAACAGAGAGGTGTGTGGTTTTAACTTTCCCTGTTCCTGTGCTTCTCCTGAGCCCAGCCTGGCAGCCCCTGGAGATGGGGTGGTGATGGCAATGAGGGAGGCAGAATGGAGGTGGAGATCCTTCAAGGCCGGGCTTCCAGAAAACTGCCCTTATTTTAAAATGTCTGGTCACACCCTTCACCTTGAATTTGGGGAGAACTTCTTCTACTTTCCTCTTGCCTTGTCTTCAACTATGCATTCCTGTTCCAGTTCTAACGCCTACCTCACATTTACCTACTCTTGATGGCATTGTTTCCTCTTGCGCTTCACTTCATCTCAGGTTGTTTTGGTAGTCATGGACCTAAGCATACAAAATCCATGGCAAATGTTATCTGTAAAAGGCCACAGCAAGTGGTTGCCCTGGATAAAGAAATTAAAAGCGATTAAAGACTAAAACTTTGGAAAACTGTCATGCTTAATGCTTGCATGTACTGTTCCACCATAGCTATGATCTTGAGAAACTATAATAGAAGCTGAGCAGATCTGCATCACTAAAAGCAATGAGACTAACAAAAATCATTCCTAGAAGGAAAAAAGACACCTTATAATGATAAAAGAGTCAACCAATCAAGAAGATATAACAATAATAAACATATAGGCCCCTAACAAGTCCCCAAATACACAAAGTAAAATCTGACAGAATAAAAGGACTAAAAAAATAATAGTTGGAGGCTTCAATACTCAACTTTCATTAATGCATAAAACAACAAATTAGAGGGGCAAAAAGGAAATAGAAGACTCAACCAACACTATTAACCAACCAGACCTGAAGTATGCCGGGGAACACTCCATCCAACAGCAACAAAATGCACATCTTTTATGGATGTGAAACATTTTCAAGAGTGGAACATAGCTTAGGCCACAAAACCAGTATCAATAAATTTTAAAAGATTAAAAACAATACAGAATTATGTTCTCTGACTAGAATGAAATTAAATTAGAAATCAGTAACAGAAGGAAATTAGAAAATTCACAAATATATGGAAACTAAACAACATACACAAAAATAGATCACTAGAATAGAATTGAGGATGCAGAAACAATCCCAGTCACCTTCAGCCATCTGATTTTTGACAAAGGGACCAAAAATACATACTGGAGAAAAAAATGGCCTCTTTAACAAACAGTGCTGAGAAAATTGGTTTTCTACGTGTAAAAGAATATAGACCCATACTTCTTATCTTGTATTAATATTAAATCAAAATGGATCGAAGACCTAGATATAAAAACTGAAACACTAAATCTTCTGGAAGATAAATAGCTAAAATTCTTGAAGACATAGGAATAGATGAGGACTTTCTCAACAGCCCTAATTGCACTAGAAATAATACAAATATATCATATTATTAATGTAAGAATAATACAAAGACTCACATTAAAGACATCATATTACAGTGATACATACATACTTATGTTTAGCAGCACAATTCATAATAGCTATATCTTAGAAGCAGCCTACATGTCCAGCAACAAATAAATGGATAAAGAAAATATATATATTCACTACTCAGCAAAGAAATATAAATTTGAGTCATTTTAGGAAAATAGATGTACCTTGAGAAAATACTAAATAAAATAAATAGACACAAAAAGTTAAATATCACATGATTTCTCTTATATGAGAAGCCCAAAACATAAATAATGTAAGGAGCAAAGTAAAAGAGAGGTGATAGGAAAGAAGGTGGTAGACTTTGTGGAGAAAGAAAGGGGATCTAGGAATGAGGGAAAAGGGTTGACCAGGAAGTTAAGATGATCTTATAATTAAGATGATATATATATATATATATATATATATAATTATTATGTATCACAACCTGTATCCCAAAAATGGAAAAAGAAGTTAATGTAATAGAGGATAGAAAGACAATAGAAAAAAAACATTGAAAACTAAAGTGAGTTATTTTTAAATACCTACAAAATTGATAACCCTTTACCTAGACTGACAGGAAAAGAGTCAGGATTCAAATTACTAAAACCAGAGTGAAAGAGATATTATCATTGACCTTATAGAGATAAAAGAGATGATAAGGGAATGTTGTAAATTACAATGTGCCAACAAATTAGACAACCTGAGTTAAATGACAAATCCAGAGACACAACTGTAAAAACTGACCCAAGAGGAAATAGAAAATCTGAATAGACCTATAACTAAAGATTACAGAAGTAATTTTTAAAACTTCTCACAAGAAAATTCCAGAATCTGATGGCTTCACTGATAAATTTTACCAAACATTTAAGGAAATAGCAATATCAACACTTTACAAATTCTCCCAAAAAGTAGAGAGAAAAGAATATTCCCCTACCTCATTCTATGAGGTCAGTACAACTGTGATACAAAAATCAAAGACATCACTGAAAAAGAAAACAGATCAACATCACTTATGAATACAAACAAGATTCTCAACATGATACTAGCAAACTACATCCAGCAACATACCCCCCGAAATAAATAAATAAATAACAGGATTATACATGACCAAGTGCTATTTATCCAGAAATGTATTACTTAACCTCAGCCACCTTGTTTTCAAAGTTTAGAAGTTTAAAAATAAAATACTTTGCACCCTAAGTTGCCAATAAAAAATATGGTTCAATATATGAAAATATTTATACTTACATTAATATTAAAAAGAATAAGATAATTAGGAATAAATTTGACAAAAGATGAACAAGGCCTGTACACTGAAAACTGTAAAACATTGGAAGAAATGAAAGAACTAAGTAAATGGAAAACATCCTGTATTCATTGAATTAGAGACTTAATTTTTTATGACAGCAATATCTCCCAACCTAATGTGTATATTCGATGTGATCCTTTTCAAAATCCCAACTGCTTTTTTGTAGAGATATTAACAAGCTGATCTTAAAATTCATATGAAAATGCAAGGAACACAGAATAGCCAAAACAATCTTGGCAAAGAAGAACACAGTTGAAGAAGTTGAAGACTCAACTTCCCAATTTCAGAACTTACTGCAAAGCTACACTTGTGAAGACTGTCAGATACTGGCAGAAAGGTAAGTATATGGATCAATGTAATAGAACTAAGTATCCAGATTATGATTTCACATAAGGCGATTTTTAACAGGGAAACAATACAACTCAATGAAGAAGGAATAAGCTTTTCACCACATAGGATTGTAACAGTAGATATCCACCTGAGAAAGAATGCAACCAAACTCCTACTTAAGACAATGTTAAAAAAACTCAAAATAAGGCCAGGGATTTAGCTCAGTGGTGCTGCCACCTACGTCACAAGCACAAGGTCCCGAGTTTGATCCCCAGTACCAAAAACAAACAAACAAAAAAACCCCTCATAATAGATCCAAATATAAAAGCTAAAACTATAAATCTCTTGGAAGGAAATATAAAAAATATATCTTTGTGGCTAGGAAAGGTCTTTTTCTATACGCACAAGGAACCAAAAAAAATAGATATAATGGACTTCATCAAAATTTAAAACTTTTGTGCTTCAAAGAACTTTATCAAGTAAGGGAAAAGGCAAACCAACAAAATAAGAGAAATATCTGCAAATCATATATCTAACAGGAACTTGTATCTATAACAAAAAAAGAAATCTTTTAAAAAGACAAATAACTGAATTGCAAATTGGTAACGAATCTTAATCCACACTTCTCCAGAGATGATACACAAATAGGCAAAAAGCACATGAAAATATGTTCTATGTCATTAACCATTATGGAAATGCAAATCAAAACCACAATGAAATATATCTATTCACACCCACTAGGATGGCTATAGTATAAAAGATGGGAAACAAGATTTTTTTAAAAGATGGAAAAATAAGAATGTGGAAAATCTGGAGACCCAGTATACTTTTGATGGGGTTGTAAAATAGTATGGCCACTTTGAAAAACAGTTTGACAATTCTGCAAAAAGTTAAGCATAGAGTTACCATATGACCCAGAAATTTCATTCCTATGTACAAACTCAACAATTAAAAACATATGTTCACATAAAAATGTGTACACTAATTTTCACAGCAGCATTATTCACAAAAATAAAAATATTTATTTTTAGCCCCAAATAGCTACCAAGTGATGAATGGACAAACATAGTGCAGTATATCCATAACATGGAACATTAATCAGCCAAAAAAAAAGGAATGAAGTCCTAATTCATGCTGCAACATGGATGAATCTTGGAAATACTATACTAAGGGAAAGATGCCAGATGCAAAAGGTCACATGCTGTATGATCTCATTTATATGAAATATCCAGAAGAAGGAAAGCCATAGAGACAGAGGACAGATGAGTGGGTGCTAGAAGCTGCCTGTCTTAGGGGTGGGATAGGTAGCAACTGCCAAAATGTACAGAGTTTCTTTGAGGGTAGATGAAAATATTCTAGAATTGGATAGTGGTAATGGTTGCACAACTTTCTTGATACACAAATACCCACTGAGTTTAGACTTTTAAAAGGATGAATTTTATTGTATGTGAATTATCTCAATGACAAATGAATAAATAATTTAAAGATATGCTCCTGAAAAAGAAGATATAGAATTTAAAATTTCCAAATAATTAGAAGGGAAAAGTAAAACAAGGAAGACTTAATCTAATAAAAATCAGGAAAGAAGGAAAACACATAAAATTTTTATAATGTAAAATTAAAAGATAAAAAATAAAATTTTTTTAAAGGTAAAAATAGGTTTAAATATTTAGGTAATCACTTTTAAAAAGTGAATGTGTTAAATACCTCCAGCTAAATACTGTTCAAAATAAAAACACATAAAATGAAAGAACATGGAAAAATTGAGAATAAATGCTGGGAAATATATAATAATGGAAAAGTAACAGAAAGACAATGAAATAAAATTAATAGAAAATCAAGATAAAGTATAAAGGGACATAAAAACTTCTCTTATTAATAAAAGTTAAAATTCACTCAAGAAGACATAACTCGTAAGTTTTTATACTCAAGCATAAATTTATACATGTGAAAGAAGAAATTTAAAAATCCAAAATTCAAATGGGATTTTGGGCTTTTGGTTTTTATTTGGTGTTGTTGTTGTTGTTGTTGTTTTGAGATAGGGACTCGCTCTGTAGCCCAGGCTGGCCTGGAACTCCCGTTGATCCTCCTGCCTCAACCTCCTCCGAAGCGCTGGGATTACAGGCATGTGCCACCACACCAATCGGATTTTTTAATCCACTTTTCTGATAAGAAATAAGAAGGCAAGTAAAAAGAGGTAAAAATGTCATTTTAAATTTTATCAATTAGTTAATAAACAACATATTGCTAAAATACCATAAGACTTTTTTTTAAAACGTTATGAAAATAAAGGCAAATGCTACCATATTTCATGCCAAAAAGAAGAGCAATTATCAAAGGCAGAAATCAAGAAATCTTAATTCTGTCCACAATACAATAGAATTAGAAATGAGTAACAAAAGGACAGTGAAATAGTCCATGGACATTCACATGGACATTTTAGCACTATTTTTAATAACTCTGGTTAATGAGGCAATCAAAACAAATTATTTTGAAATATGTACACAAAACTTATAGATGAAAGCAAAACAGTAGTCAGAAGAAAGTGTAAAGCTTTATTTTTTAAAAAGAAAGGATAAAAACAATTCAAACTATAAAAAAGAATACAAAAAGTTCAATGAAAAATTGAAGGAAAGCATTATCAAGGAGAAAAACAGAAATCAACTCAACCATAAATAAACAAGAGAAAAAAGTAATTATTCAGTAATATCAAAATCTTGTTCTTTGAAGTGAACAATAAAATAAACAAAACTCAAATAAGAGCCAAGAGAGATTATGTAAAGGTGCAAATTTCTAATGACAAATGTCATTATATTGTATACCTAAAATGCACCAATAAAATTAATAAAATAAACAAAACTCTGATAAGCTTATAGTTAGGAAAAAAGAGAAAAACAAAGCAAAAATAATGAATATAAAAATAAAATGCATTGTAAATTGAGGGTTGAAAGTTTAATTTATGAGTATCATACACAATTTTATACAAATAAATTTTATAATCTATGTGAAATTGATGATTTTCCAGGAAAATAAAGTATACTAGCACAGGCTCAATATGAGGTAGGGGCCTACATAAACAAACAATTGTAAAATATCAAAGATTTACTATTGAAAATAGCATTAATTTTAAAAAAAGAAAATAGCATTAATTGAAACATTTATATGCAAATTCTGCCAAATTTTCAAGAAATAAATAATTGCCATGAAACATCAATTATAAAACTATATAGCAACAGAAGAAAAGTTTTTAAACTTATACTATAAAGTTAACTAGTGTTTTTCAAAGAACATATAAAATGTAGATCCCATAATGTAACAGATTTAGAGTTGGCTTCATTAGAATTTAAATTTTCACTTTTCGTAGGTCTCCAAGGACATTTTCTCAGGGGGCATTTTATACCGTACACAGTTGAGCAACATTCCATGAAGGCCAAACACCCATTGTAGTTAACCAGTAACTCCCAGTTTTGATAAATTAATTCCACTAACTATCAGATTTTCTTCCAACGCTATACATGGAAAAACTGAGGGAAACAAAAATAATCCATCGCAGCTTGCATTCTTGTATAACACAAAAGCAATACAAGAAGCTCAATGGAAAAAGCCAGGGGGAGAAAGATGCACAAATATTCAGAAAATAAGCAGAGAAGTAGGGAACCTGTCAATTAGAACATTACAACGGGAAAAGACGTTTGGAATAAGCAAAAAAGATTACTCAGTGTCTCCAGTGGAAATCTATGCAGTTTTACTGCGCATACTTCCAGGTACTCTGAATCTAGACCCTTCACTGCCCTTGAGCTATTTTACACCTCTGCAAGTTAGAGATAACTGGTATTGATGCAAAATAATTCTTGTATAAATACAAAAATACTAAACTCTGTTCAGGGGAGGTTTAATTGACTTCTCTCTGCCATTGTATAAAAAAAAGTTGTACCCTTTAATTTTCACATTTATGTATTACTATTACTAATTTATTACTATTCTTTATCTATAAATGTAGTTGAATTATCCTTTCAACTGCTTGTAGTGTCTTACAATTTCTCTCACTTAAAATTAGTCCACACAGGGGCCAGGGATTTAGCTCTGGTTCTGACGCCTGCCTCGGCAGCGCAAGGTTCCAAGTTCGATCCCCGGTAAAAAAAAAAAAAAAAAATGAGTCTACATTCTCATTTTTTAAAATTTTAAACTGTTCTCTCTTGAAAGACATAATAAAGTTAATGACAACTGAAAAATTATTCTTAATATTTTCAACAATGAAGACATTTCCAGAATATGAAGATATCCATTAAAATATGAAAAGAGATCAAAACCTAAATGAAAAATAAACAGTTTGAATAAAATAAGCCATGGAAGAAAAAATATAAATATCCAATACTTTTTAAAAGATGCATGTATTCTTTAGTTAGGAGGTCAAGCTGCTATAAGAGATCTCAAAAGATACAGATTCAATAAAAAATACATGTCTATTTCTCTCTTCTGTAAGGTATAGGTTCTGCTCTAAGAAGTGTGGTAGCCACTTGGACCAGGAGGGGGAAGCTCTGCTATTATTACAACATGACCTTAAAAAATGCTCAGGTTAAGTGTTTCCAAATGTTGGAAAAAGAAAAAAAAGGAAAACAAGACAGATCCACACATCATTTTTGCTTCCATCTTACTGACCTGAGCTAAGTTACATGACCAAAGTAAGTTGCAAAGGCAGCTGGGAAATGTGGTCCTTAATTACTAAAAGGAAGAAGAGGGCTACTAGAGGACAGTTAGAGTTATCTACTATAATACAAATACAAATCAAATTAAAATAATAAAAAGAACTGTCAATCATAATGTCAATTTTTTACCTTTATCATATAAAAATCAATAAAAATAAAGGAAACAGACACCCCAGAATACCATCAGAGAAGGTATAAATTCAAGCCAGTCTGACATCTCTCAAACTCAACTTATCTACTATGGTCTTGGAATTCTACTAAAAGAGACTCACATATAGGAATTCTTTCACTTGTTCTAAAATATAATACACAATAGTATTCACAGCAGCATGTTTGTTATGGGGGAATGATCTTAAATATCTATCAGTAGAGGAAATATTTTTAAATTCGGACATAATCTCTCCTGTAGCATATCAAATAGCTATAAAAGAGACTAATGAAGCACTAACATGAAACTAGTTCTAAGGTATATTTCAAACTGAAAAGGTAAGGTACACAATGACATAAACATAATCTTGTTCATAGAAAGACAAGAAATAACTGTGTGCATACTTACATGTATGTAGCCAACTAGGAATAAAATTGGAATTCTATTCATAAAATAGTTAACAGTAATTTACTTCGAAAGGGGGAAAATGAATGTGCCCGAAGGCAGGAGAACTTTATTGTTTCCTCTCTACTTAACAATTATTTTAATAACTTACAATAAGAATATATTCATTACTCTTCTGTATTTTGGGAGGATTTTTTGGTACCCGGGATTGAACTCAGGACCTTGTGCTTGCAAGACAGGCAGCAGAACCACTGAACTACATCCCCTGCCCATTCTTCTGTATTTTTATACAAAAGATAAAAGAAGGGAAACAGAATTGACAGTTGGGGTAAGGGGGTGTCCTGATTTTAAAAAGTGGAAGGAAATAATTCAATGGTGAAATTAAGGCTAATTCTTCCTCCTCCTCCTCCTCCTCCTCCTCCTCCTCCTCTTCCTCCTCCTCTTCCTCTTCCCCCTTCACCTCTTCCTCCCCCTCTTCTTCCCCCTTCTTCCTCCTCTTTCCTCCTCCTCCTCCTTCTCCTCCTTCTCCTCCTCCTCCCTCCTGCTCTTCATCCTCCTCCCTGCTCCTCTTTATCCTCCTCTTCTCCACCTCCAGCTTCCCCTTTCTTTCTTCTTTAAATTTTCTGTGACAGGATTGATTTACTTCTGGAATGAAAACTTTTTTTTATTTGCCCCTGGGGCTGAACAGCAAGTAAACTGAGCACCTAGTATTTTTCTAACTTATTCCCTGAAAAGGCTGAGCTCTTTTGAATAGAGGCCTGAGGACCTATTCATTTTTTTGGGAAAGGGATGAGGACACTTTGATCACATTTTATAATGATCTCCACAAAAGAGTTTAGGAAAGTTGCTATTTCATCTTTTCAGACTGAAATGATAGAAGACTTTGTAGCTCTGTAAGGAAATATTCTTGACAGTTTTAAGTGAAATTTTTAAAATTGTAGACTCTACTTACATATGGACAAAATTAACAAATTAACTCAGGGGCCAAGGATTTAGCTCAGTGGTGCCGCCACCTGCCCCGCAAGCACCAGGTCCCGAGTTCAATCCCCAGTACCAAAAAAAAAAAAAATTTACTCAAAGAAAATGTAACACAAATGTTTCTGAGGTGGAGTGATGGGGTTATGAATGGGCTTTGTTTTGTTTGTTAGTGTTTCCTTGAATATTTGTTCTCAGAATAGATATGAAAAATCAAAGGGGTGTGGAAGGAAATAGGCAGAAAATAAATGGAAACAAATTTCCAGGAATGGAGAAGTATTGTCTGTTACAATAAATACAGAAAATTCTGATCAATGATTCCAGAAATTCCCTTTGTAAAATTTTGAAATATTTGATATAATCTCACCACATCTCTTTTCTATTAGGTAGGCATTTTCTTAGAATCAAATGTGGAGGTGTGAGATCTAAAAAGACTTTGTAATCTCCTTCCCATAATGTACTCAAATTAACCAGATAATTGCATTCCCACAGGAAGTCTGTCAAACATTTCCATTTCTGAGAGAAATTGAAAAGCATAATGCAGTCCACTCCTGAACAACAAAATTGTGTTGTTTTTAATCACTGAAAATAGCATCAATAAAACAGGCAAATAATACCAAAGTTATTCAAGAAAATGAATGGAATAACTTACATGAACTAAACCTCAAAGATTTGGAATACAGACAATTTTCTTTTATAGGAAATATTGCTGAATCCCTACACCTCTCAGAGTAGGAAACCATCAATCACCACAGAGAGGTAATTCCCATGAAACACCTCAGGACCCTGCTGGTCACCATGGCTGAAGGTGAAATGTTCCTTTGCATACAGCACTGTCCCTTCCTGCCACTTTGTGGAGGTGCTGGCTCTCAGCACCAAGGTCACAAAGAGGACAGAAATTACTTCTTTCCCCTACATATATACTGCTTAT